GCCCAGGAGCAGAGATTTAATTCCAGGTTGTGCTCATAACAATATGTTAGCTAACACGGCTGGTGGCTTTTTCTGGAACTTGCGAGTTGCCTCAGGACTAGGAATTGTGACTTGAGTGCATTCAATATGGGTAAAAAGGAGTCCCAGCCAGCAATATAAAAGTGTGAGGCTTCAGAAGGGCTAATTTCCTGAAGATAAGAAAATTATAACTGAAAAAGACAAGAAAGTTCTTTAAAAAGCATTTATGAGATGGCCAAAAAAGCTACAATTGCACACTCAAGAAAGAGAACTTTTGGCTGAAAGCCCATCCTGGTTCAATAGTAACATGAAGGCTGCAATTAGAAACAGAGAATCAACGTATCACAGAACGGAAAAGGGGGCAGTGGATTGCAAGCAGGGCTGTCAAGTGATTAAAAAAATTAATCGTGATTAATCGCACTGTTAAACAAAAATAAGAATACTATCTATAGTAGAATCCAGATTATTTGATCTTCGGTAATCCGACATTCCACTTTATCCGACCCTGCAGCTCCCGGGGACAAAGCGGCGCTGGCTAAAGTAGAGTCCCTATCATCCAACATTTTCGGTAATCCGACCACCTGTTGGTCCCGTTTAGGTCGGATAATCGGGACTCTACTGTATTTAAATATTTTTGGATGTTTTCTACATCTTCAAATATATTGATTTCAATTACAACACAAAACAGAAAGTGTACAGTGCTGATTCCAGGCTCCCCACAGTGCTACCCCTTTGAAATGCTGTGGCAGCGTGTCAAAGGGGCAGTGTCACAGGGAGCCCGGGGTCAGCTGTATGGCGCTGTCCCTTTGAAACACTGTGGCGGTGTGGCAAAGGGGAAGCACTGCACAGCTGATCCTCGCTGCCCCTTTGAATGTCATGGCAGCGTTTCAACGTGCCAGTGCCACACACGCAAAACACCTGCAATTAATGCGTGTTCATTTTTTTAACGCATTAATTCTGCCCTGCGTTAATCGCAGGCGTTAACGTGCATTAATTGACAGCCCTAGTTGCAAGCAATAGAAACTAGAAGTGATGTAGGTAATTCATACAGGAAGCTAAAGACTCAAGAAAAAACATCATCCATTTATGGACTCATAGGAGATTAGGGTTGGATGAGAATTCAGGAGGTTATCTAGTCCAACCCCATACTCAAAGCAGGACCAACCCCAATCCACAGCTTGGCAAGGCTAAGGACAATTAAGAAAGAGTTTTAAAATATATTAGGAACAAAAGAAATTCTAGGGATGGTGTAGGCCCATTACTACATGGAGATGGCAACACTATTAATAATGCTGCAGAAAAGGCAGAATAGTTTAATAAGTGTATCATCGGCATTTGGAAAGAAACAGGATGATGTACTCCTATCACACGAAGACAGCAGTCCATTAGTAACTAAGGAGAATGTTAGAGAACATCTGCTAGAGATCATTTTAAATCAGCAAACCCAGATAACATGCACCCAAGAGTCCTAAAAGAGCTGGCTGAGGCACTCTCTAGCTGGCTGATGGTAATGTTTAATAAAGACTGGAAGGCTGCTAACGTTGCAACAATATTCAAAAAGGGAAAGTAGGATGAGTCAGGAAACTATAAGCTGATTAACTGTACATCAATCCTAAGCAAAATAATGGAAAAACTGATAAGGAATTCAATTACTATAGAGTTAAAAAACAGAAATATAATTAATGCCAGGCAACAAGAGTTTATAGAAAACTAGTCATTCTCTGATAAGCTAGTATGTTTGGTTGATAAGGTTCATAGATTCTGAGGTTCACAGACTTTTGGTCACCTGTTCTCTCTGACCTCTTGCATAACCTAGGCCAGAAAACTTCCCTGTATTAATTCCTGCTTCTAGTCCAATAGTGGTGCTTGATTTAAAGAATATCTTTTAGAAAAACATCTAGTCTTTATTTTAAAAATTCCAGGGATGGAGAATCCACCACAAAGCTCTAACCATGTAGTTGTAATTCACTCAGACGTTTATAAGGTGTTTGATTTAGTACCATGACATTTTGATTGAAAAATTAGCACTTTACACTACCCGGAAAGCACAAGTGTAATTGATTAAGTGCTGGCTAACTGACAGACCTCAAAAAAGTAGCCAGCAATTGATGCAAAATGTCAGTGAGTGGATCAGGTCTAGATCTGATGCTATTTAACATTTTCAGCAATGGTCTGGAAGAAATTACTGATAAAAATCAGTGAGAAGGGGCTGGCATTGCTAAGAGAGTTTTCCAGACGTGGTGCCTTGTCCCATCCCATCCCATCACTCGTGGCCACGCACAGGAGGACTCCGGAGTCCTTCCGCATTGTGCACGGCAAGTATCATTTTTTCTGTAGCCTTTACCCAAATTCAACTACACAATTTGTTCTTTTAACCTTTTCTCATGCTCCAGCCCCATTATCAGCTTTTGTGCTCTGACTGAAGTGTTAGCCTTGCTGGAGTATGGATATGCCAACCTCTGAAATCAGAAGCTAATTGTTATTGCCCTTTCTCAAGGGCAATACCGCAAGGCCCGTAAAAAGCCAATCGTAATTGCCCCAGTGCTAACAGGGCAGAGCATGCTGCAGACCTAGAGAATGGTTTAGACATAGGACGGAATACACATCGACTTAGGTTATGTCTACACTCAGAAGGCTTGGCAACAAAAGTGCTGTCGACCTGCAAATGTTGCTAAAAGTGAAAACCGGTCAAACCAGTTTTTCTGCCTCCTTTTGTCAACATTTCATGGCCACATTGCTAGCTCTCCTGTTGACAGACAGAGCAAAGCATTGTGGGTAAGCATCCCACAGTGCAGTGTAGTGGGAAGGCAGGGCTGATCCCTGCGCTTCTTGGGATTCCCTCGTAGCTCTGAGCTCTCCGTGCTGAGGAATGTCAAAGAAGTACAGTAGTTTCCCCAGCACTCCCCCTGAAGCAGCAGCCTGGCGGCCACTGTGTTCCTAATGCAGAGCAGAACAGGAGTATTCCGATGATTTGTTCTTTGTTTGTTCCCCAAACAAGACAGCTCACTCAGCTGTCAGATACTTCCCGGAGCTTTGAAAAAGGAGGGGCGCATGGCTGCAGGGCAGCAGAGATCATGAAATGCTGAGCAGAGCTACCAGGGCAAACAATGTGATATCCTGACGGAAGCCAGTTCTCTTGACAAAACAAATAGCAGAGTCCACAGTAGCTCTTTGTTGACAACAAAGGGAGGGGAAAAGACAAAAGTCTCTCGCAAAGGTGGACGTTTTTTTACAACAAAGGGAGGGGAAAAGACAAAAGTCTCTCGCCGAGGTGGATGTTTTTTGTTGCCAAAACTGGGTGGTTTTTTATCGACAAAAGTGCTGTTGTCGTGCAAACGCTCTCACTGTTTTGTCGCCAAACGACAGGCTCTGGCGACAAAACATGCCAGCGTAGACAAGACCTTAGACAAGCATTGAACCACCAGAGTGACTACATGCATCATAGCATGCTGCTTCTCTCCCCTGGGCCAGGCCCAGGTGTGTGCAAGAGAAACCACAAAAGACGAGGAGCCCTTTTCAAAGGGCAAGGGCCCAATTCCGTTACATTCATTAAAAAGAAACAAAGCCGAGCACCTGCTGTTTTCCAATGACATCCTTTAATGGATTCCTGCAGCCCATCAACACAGATGGGCCCAGGCAACGAGGTTGGCGTTTTTCCTTAAAGTGTCTGTGTGACATCAAGTCAAAGTTAAGCTTGTAGTCAAAGGCATTAGAGGACATTAGAAGCAATGGGAGGCGGCAGTAGCAGGCCGGTTACAGGGGGCTAGCAAGGTATGATGCTCCATCCCTCCCACTGGCACAGTGGAGATGGGGGTGTGAGCGCATCTTGTTGCATATTCAAACCAAACAAGCACAGGTACCATGCAACACAATCTGCGGCTGGGAATGGCTGGAGAACGGGATTTGGATCGTTATTGCGGATTGCTTTGTCGGATGCTGCATGCGTCAAGGATGCAGCTGCCCATGGTGGGGAGGAATACAGTTACTAGCCCGGCTGTCGGCCACTCTACACTTCTCCGAAAATAGCACCTGCTTGCTACAGGGAACCACTGCTCATGGGGTGGGACGAACTTCACCTCTGGGACCAAGTTTCTCCTTGGGTATCTCACCACTGAGTTTAGATGGAATTAAAATGTCTGGAGGGGTATGTTATCTTTGTCCTCCACTAGGGGCTGGCTATAATCCACCCCAGGGAACCTTCCCCTCGCAGCTCACTGAGCCAGATCTCCTACCTCTTGCGGTGACCCTTGAAGCCAGAGCCAGTCCCTTCCAGTGGAGAGTCACCAGTAGGACGCGCTGCTGACTCACCTGCTGCTTTTGGTCCTAAAATCTTATAGGGATATTATTTCTCCAGCCCAGGAACACTCTGTCATCGACTGTTCCTCCCACGTCCCCCACCTCTGTGAGCAGAACAGGAGCATTCCGATGATTTGTTCTTTGTTTGTTCCCCAAACAAGACAGCTCACTCAGCTGTCAGATACTTCCCGGAGCTTTGAAAAAGGAGGGGCGCATGGCTGCAGGGCAGCAGAGATCATGAAATGCTGAGCAGAGCTACCAGGGCAAACAATGTGATATCCTGACGGAAGCCAGTTCTCTCGACAAAACAAATAGCAGAGTCCACAGTAGCTCTTTGTTGACAACAAAGGGAGGGGAAAAGACAAAAGTCTCTCGCAAAGGTGGACGTTTTTTTTTGCCAAAACTGGGTGGTTTTTTATCGACAAAAGTGCTGTTGTCGTGCAAACGCTCTCACTGTTTTGTCGCCAAACGACAGGCTCTGGCGACAAAACATGCCAGCGTAGACAAGACCTTAGACAAGCATTGAACCACCAGAGTGACTACATGCATCATAGTATGCTGCTTCTCTCCCCTGGGCCAGGCCCAGGTGTGTGCAAGAGAAACCACAAAAGATGAGGAGCCCTTTTCAAAGGGCAAGGGCCCAATTCCGTTACATTCATTAAAAAGAAACAAAGCCGAGCACCTGCTGTTTTCCAATGACATCCTTTAATGGATTCCTGCAGCCCATCAACACAGATGGGCCCAGGCAACGAGGTTGGCGTTTTTCCTTAAAGTGTCTGTGTGACATCAAGTCAAAGTTAAGCTTGTAGTCAAAGGCATTAGAGGACATTAGAAGCAATGGGAGGCGGCAGTAGCAGGCCGGTTACAGGGGGCTAGCAAGGTATGATGCTCCATCCCTCCCACTGGCACAGTGGAGATGGGGGTGTGAGCGCATCTTGTTGCATATTCAAACCAAACAAGCACAGGTACCATGCAACACAATCTGCGGCTGGGAATGGCTGGAGAACGGGATTTGGATCGTTATTGCGGATTGCTTTGTCGGATGCTGCATGCGTCAAGGATGCAGCTGCCCATGGTGGGGAGGAATACAGTTACTAGCCCGGCTGTCGGCCACTCTACACTTCTCCGAAAATAGCACCTGCTTGCTACAGGGAACCACTGCTCATGGGGTGGGACGAACTTCACCTCTGGGACCAAGTTTCTCCTTGGGTATCTCACCACTGAGTTTAGATGGAATTAAAATGTCTGGAGGGGTATGTTATCTTTGTCCTCCACTAGGGGCTGGCTATAATCCACCCCAGGGAACCTTCCCCTCGCAGCTCACTGAGCCAGATCTCCTACCTCTTGCGGTGACCCTTGAAGCCAGAGCCAGTCCCTTCCAGTGGAGAGTCACCAGTAGGACGCGCTGCTGACTCACCTGCTGCTTTTGGTCCTAAAATCTTATAGGGATATTATTTCTCCAGCCCAGGAACACTCTGTCATCGACTGTTCCTCCCACGTCCCCCACCTCTGTCCCAGACCCCACCACCTGCCCCCCCCCGCGCTGTGTGCGTAGGTACAGCTGCACATACACAGGCAGACGCATGGACAGGAGACACACACAAACACACACACGCTCCCTTTTTTTCCCCTCTCCTTCATCACTGACTTTCCAGCACCTGAATATTCCTCTGGTGAGTGGTTCCTTTACCCCAAGCAGTCAGCACAGCAACAGCCAATCCAGAAGTCTCCATGGTGAGGGGGTGACATGCACCCTGATTTGCAGCTAGAGCCTCTTTGGACCTAGAAACTAAGAGAAACGCCTTGGGAAGGCAGGTTGGCTCCCGCAGCCAGCGCTGCGCCCTCGTCTAGGCCAGTGACTGTACAAAAGAAACAACACACACACACATTATTTACAGCCCGTGTGTCACATGACGGAGCAGCTCTTGGCTCGGTCCTTCCTGATCTCCGTGTCGTTCAACAAGTCCGTCCTGCTGGGCATCTGAGAGGCCCGCTTCAGTCCCCGCTTGGAGTTGCTGCGCTTGAGATGTTTGTGCACCCTGTTGACGGAGGCCAGTGTGGTGACGTGGAAGACGTCCCGCACGCTGTTCTCGGAGACCTTGGAGGAGCACTCCACGTACGCCACCGCCCCCATCTGCCGCGCCAGCGTGCTGCCCTAGGAGGGGGGGTGGAAAGGGGAGGGAGAGAAGGGTTTGCATCAGCCGGGGTGCGCGGGCCGCGGCGGGTGGGAAAGGCAGCTCAGCGGGGAGCTGCTTCCACACGGGGCTTATTCATCACCCCCTCGTGCACCCGCGAGAGGGGTCACATGAGCCTCGTGGGCAGTGGGCACTGCAGGTGAGAAAGGGCTGGCAGGGGCTGGTTCGCGGACAACCCAGCTTTGGCCGGAATCTGCCTGTGACAGGTGGCAGGGCTCCTTCTCAGATGTTAGGAGGCACGAGAGGGCTGTGGTGCGTATCCTCCCCCGACCCAGCCATTCGTTTACTGGTTCTTCCCATTCCTGGGCAGGCAGCTTGGCCTGGGATTCAGACCACAGCATGGCTTGACTCTATCCCTGTGCCACACGCCAGAGCTCTCTGCCCAGGCAGGGCTCGCGCAGCGCTCATCTATGCCGAGGCCGACATGTGGCGATGGCCCTACTGGGCCCATGTTGCACATGGAGACGCCAGCAAGGATGGGCGGGGAAGAGTGGGGTTGTGCGTTCATAGAATCGTAGAAGTGGAAGGAACCTTGAGAGGTCAAGTCCAGTCCTCCGCAGTCATGGCAGGACCAACTCGACCAGGGGCAGACAAGAGGCAGCCCACGGGCTGGACCCGGCCTGCCAGGCCGTTTCATCCAGCCCGCGGCCTGCTCCAACAGGACCCTCAGGCACGGAGTGTCTCCATGCTGCTCAAAGCAGCTGCCGGCTCCGTGTGAATCTCTGCACCACACACTGGGGAGGGGGCAGGTTTTGCACTCTGCCCACGCCCCCAGCACAATCTCTCAGCGCCTAGTGGCCAGAAACCAGCCAATGGAAACTGAAAGACAGTGCTGGGGATGGGGGCAGCGCACAACCCATCTCCCCAGCACATGGCACAGAAAGGCAGAAGGAACAGCTGGCTGATTTGAGCAGTCTGGGGCTGTGGCCTGCCAGGGAGACTGCCTGAGAGTCCCGTTGGGCTGCTGGCTGGGAGACACCTAGATAAGCACCTCCTAGCCACAGCCTGTCTCTGGGACCACACCCCCTTCCGTACCCTAACTCCCTGCCCCAGTTCACCACTCCCTCCTGCCCCAAGTTATCAGCTGAAACCTCTGTACCCCTCCTCCCCAGGTCACAACTCCCTCCCAACCCTGAACCCAGTCCTCCCCTCTTCCTGCAGACCAGAATCCTCTCCTGCACCCATACCCCCTCCTGGATCCTGGACCCCAATCCCATGTCCCAGGTCACCACCCCTCTCCTTCACCCAAACTCCCTCCCAGACTGCACACCTCTTCCTGCACCTACCCAGAGTTTCCATCTGCACCTAACCTCCATCCCAGACCCCCTAACTTCTGTCCCCCACAAGAAAGGGCAATCCTTGACCACTTACCAAAATCTTGGGGTGCACACCCCATCAAAAGTTATTGCCCACCCCAATCTAGACCATCCGTGACAGGTGTCTGTCTAACCTGCTCTTAAAAATGGCCAATTACGGAGATTCCACAACCTCCTGTAGGCAATTTATTCCGGTGCTTAACAACCCTCACAGCTACAAAGTTTTTCCTAATGTCCAAGCTAAACCTCCCTTCCATTGCTTCTTGTCCTTTCTCCTTGTAAAAACTTTTTAGATACTTGAAAGTTGTTATCAAGTCCCCTCAGTCTTCTCTTTTGCAGATTAAACAAACTCAATTCTTTCCATCTTCCCTCATAGCTCATATTTTCTAGACCTTGAATCATTTGTGTTGCTCTTCTCTGGACCTTCTCCAATTTCTCCACCTTTCCTGAAATGTGGTGCCCAGAACTGGACACAATACTCCAGTTGAGGCCTAACCAACGCAGAGCTAGCAGAAGGTGGAACCAGTGCTCCTCATGGTTAGAGAATCAAGATAAATAACACTTTAAACAAGTCCAACTGCCCGTGGGCAGGGAGCAAACAGGCTGGTTAGGGGCCAGAATCCCTCCTCTCCACATCTGGACAGTGGGCCTTGGACCCACCCTGTGTAAAAGCAGGAATTTGCTCGTGGCTCAGCCAGACACCTGCTCCTTAAATGTCTGCAGCCCTGTGAGCTGTGCTTCTTGAGGGTGTGTTTGTGCCACAAGTTCAGCTGCCAGGCCTGCAACCCAGAGGGGAAATCTCCTTGTTTCAGCAAGGGTACTTCTACACTAGCTCGGTAGTTCGAGCTAGGCAGGGTAATTAGGGCAAGCGGAGTTGCAAATGAAGCCCGGGATTTAAATATCCTGGGCTTCATTTGCAGGTTCCCGGGCGCCGCCATTTTTAAATCCCCCATAGTCCGAACTCTGTGCCCGCGGCTACACACGGCACGGAGTAGGTAGTTCGAATTAGGATCTGGGACAGCAATACCTGCTTGTTCTGGGGGAATGTGCCAGGTCCAGGGATGCATTCCCCTGTCTGCTGGTGAGTGGATTTTCCCGTGGCCTCCTGGAGTACCTTCCTGGAGGGCCAGGCTAGGGGAAGTGTAGGGTTGCCAGGTGTCCGGTTTTTGCCTGGACAGTCCGGTAATTGCGTCTTCTGTCCGGTTTGGTCTTCTGTTTTTTTTTTCTTTTGCTCAACAAGTTTGGTCCCCCGTGGTTTTTTGGGTTTTTGATGCTTAACCAATTTTTTTCCCCGTCATGTTAGGGATTTTTTGTGAAAGTATCTGGCAACCTTAGGCAAGTGACAGTAGTTTCCTTGGAGAGGTGGCCTAATGCCAGAGTGAAGCCCAGCCATGGGCCAGATGCCCCTACAGACAGCAGCTTCCTCCACCTTGCCCCCCAAGTGCAGGCCCTTGTGGCTCTCGTGCTACCGAGGCGGCAACAGCCTGTGGAAAGAGCTTCCCGCTGGAGTCCTGGGAGCCCTTCCCCCTCAGAGCAGCCCCATCCCCTGCTGCCTTCCCTGCCCCCACTTCACAGGCGGGATGGCTGAGTGTCTTCATCACCTTCTAGGAAAGTAATTTTAGCTGCTAGGTGCTAACCAGGAGCTGACAGCCTGTGCGCAGAGTAACAGCTCCTGGGAGGCGCCTGCCCCCTGTGTCTGCAGCGAGAGCCAAGAATACACCCAGCTCTCACCAAGGGCAGGGAGAGGAGCGTCCGCGAGCCGGAGCTGCCTGCTGAGCCCGTGTCAAGCAGCAGGCAGAGGGAGGCTCTGGCTCCATCCCCTCCATCAGCTGGGCTTCCGGAGCCAGCAGGGCTTAGGGCATCCCCCCCTGCGCCCCCGGGAAGCCCACCTGCTCGTGTGTGACGGGGATGAGGCGCTGCTTGGAGAGCTCCCGGAGCGTGTGGAGGTCCGTCCGCATGTCCAGCTTGCAGCCCACCAGCACGACCTTCGCGTTGGGGCAGAACTCCTGGGTCTCCCCTTGCCACTGTGGGGAGAGAGCAAAGCCAGGGGGAGGGAGGGTTTTAAAATGGCTGCTCGCAGGGCTCTCGCCCCCTCCCCGCCTTCATCCTGGCAGCCGCCCAGCCCCAGCCTGCAAGGAGGGACCTGCAGGAGCTGGCAAGGGGCATTCGTAGCCCCCCGCTCAGCCAGCAGGGCGCATGGGGGGGAGGCAGCTCAGGGAAGCAGGCAAGAGCAATGGTCACAGTACTTCGTCTTCCAGCTCCCAGAGTCCTGGCTCCCAGCCCCCACGGCGCTAACCCACTCGGACCAACCCCCCTCTCAAAGCCGGGGAGAGAACCCAAGAGCGCTGGCCCCTCGGCCCCGTCCTCCCCCCACGCCGCGCTGGCTGCACTGTATCCAAGGGCCCCCCAGGCACAAGCAGCCCAGAAAGCCGCCCTTTCGACAGCCTTTGGACTGGGGGGAAGGCCAGTCGCATATCTGGTCCCTTGGCTGTAGGGGGGACAGAGCGCTGCTTTCAGCCGTTGATCTGTAGCCGGCGGGCAGGGGACTCTCCAGGGATCCCAGGCAGCGGCAGCTGCCCCCACCCTGGCTTGCAGCTGGTCCCTACTCCGGGCAAGCTTCCCTCAGAGAAAAAAGGGAATGATTCTCTCTGAACCGTCAGCTCCCTGGCGAGGCCTCAGCCTCCTGCAGGCTGCATGCCAGGGCCTGGGCCATTGGACAGGGGGATTGGGGGACTGTAGCCACCGGGCCTCGGATGCTATGAGCCCAGCACCCGAGCGAGAACAAGGACCCGCGGCCGTAGCTGGCCCCTGTGCAGCAGGGAGGGAGGGGAAAGTAGCCAGGTGCCCAGGTCTGAGCCCGTCCCCACCTGCCCTGGGAAAGGCCAGGTGCGGACGTGACTGTGAGCAGGCCAAGAGGGTTACCTAGGCAACAGGCTGACCGGCGCTCATCTGAACACGGCCGGCCACGCGCTCGCCGGGAGGGCAGCATCCAGCCCTTGAGAGCCCCGCCTCGCCCTGCCACTGTTCCCCGGCCAGCGCGGGCCTGGCTCTCGCGCTCACTCCGCCGGTTGGAGGCAGCGTCTCGAGAACCCAGCACCCTCCCAAGCAAAACTGGGTGCACGTCCTCCCTCCCACGTGCTCTCCCTCCGCCTGCTCAGGAGCCGCCAAACCCGCCTGACTGGGGCGGTGGAGAGCCAGGCCTGGGGCAGCACAGAAACAAGCAGACTGGCACCATCTCCTTCCCACAGTTACTGCAGGGCCAGGCCGGCTTTACCCTGGCCGGGGCAGGAGACCAGCAACCCCAGACCGGTGGTGCAGGGAAGCGGAATGATCTCAAAGAGGCCTAGAGTCCATGAGACATGGGGGGAAAGGGGTCCGCAAGAGGGCCCCTGGATTCGCTGAAGCCAGACACTCCAGAGGGGACTTTGCCATATCCCATTACAAAAGATCAGCCAGCGCATATGCTGGGCTGGGCCCCCGGAGGCCAGGATGGGGAAAAAACACAGGGACAACCGCCTTTGACCTTTTGAATGGAACAGGAGGCTCTTATGGGAGGAGGCCGGGACAAGCTGCGAGCCCTCCAGGGCTGGGGGCACAGCTGTCGGAAGGGTGATTAGGTCACCCGGGCCCCGCATTGACTGTCACAGGCGGGGAATTAGCAGGCCCGCGCTTGAATAGGCTGCTTTCTGCTCCCTGGCTCCAGATGTGCCTCGCAGCCCTGCTAAGCCTAAACTCCCATCCCCCCACTGGGCTTCACCATGGAAAAGTAATGACCACACAATCTGGTGCACAGAGCTGGCACTTCAAAGGGTGCCCCCGCGGAGCCCTCGGCACAACTGTTTCCAAGACAGCCGGGCAGTCAGCAGGGAGCTATTTGCCCTGCAAACACGGAATCGCTTTGCAAACTGGGAGACTTCCCCCATCAAAGCCCGTCAGATCTTCTCAACACCGGCCCACTGGCCTCAGGGGCTGGCAGCAGTGAAAGGCGCGGACGAGGGCATCTACTCCTCTGCCCGGACTGGCTGCTTTCGAAGCTCCAGTGTGCAGCTGAGTGGCTGCAACAGACAATCTCCCCCCATCCCGGTTCTCCTCCCCACCCCCAGAAGATTTGTCTAGGTCGCCCGCGCCGTGATCTGGAGTCAGCGACCTGGCTACGTGCCCGTCGTGCTGGGAGGCGAAACGAGACAGTGAGCAGAAAAACCCAGCGTCTATCTCTGCTCCGCCGGCTGTCACTCTGAACTAGCAATATTCTACTGATGGGAAAACATCCCCGGCAATTAAAAAAGCCACCCGGTGCCCGCCGTCTGCTGGGAAACCAGGTGGCTCAGACTAGCACCGGCTTCATTCTGCAAAAGGTCATGGCAGAGCGGCCACAGCTGGATTAGAAGAGAGAGAGAGAAAAACCATCAGGAGGGTGGAGCTCAATGTTTGCAGCCTCTGGGCCGCTCCGCATTTCCACTGCACCAGCAGCTGATGGCACAGCTTACGGGAGATTCCCCGGTCTCTGACATCACTGCCCGTGGCCACGCATGACTCGTCCCCTGCACTGGAGAGAGAGGGCCCTGAGTCTGTTCTGTAAGCAGGCAGGCATTCATCCACATGAGGCAGCTGCTGGAAAGGGCCACATTGGACCTGGAATTTGCCATGGGTCCCAGGCACAGGGCTGTGCTCCCGAGACCTGTCAGGATTAAAGGCAGCGCCCCACAGAAGCCCAGGCTGGGTAAACGAGCAAGCTGTTTGCATTCTCTCCAGCGGTTCCTTCCCCCTCCGTGCGCCGTGCTGTTGGTAAAAACAAAAGCTCCACAAATCAAATGCTCGTTTGGGTTTTGCAGCCGAGGCCTCAGATGCACAGTGATAATAAAGATTCCTCTGCTGACTTTGCATGTTGGCCCAGGGCTGAAACAGGCAGCTTTCTTCTCCTTACTCACTGGAGATCAAAAGCGAAGCTCTATTTCCACTTCATGGTGTCTTAGGCATTCTCCTAAGGCTGCCAAGCCTGCGCCCAAGGAAACACGGCATCCTCTCGGAGGCACTTAAAGAATCCCTGGTGATTCGGGGTTTGTTTTACGTTGCCATATCAAAAAGACTTTGCCTAATAGTAGTAGGGAAGAGTTTGCGTTTAGCAGCGCAGGAGGGTCTGCCGACAGAGCCATAAATAAAGGCCGGCTCAAGACAGTTCTTAGTGAGTTTCTTGCTCATTAAGGTAGAAGTGATTTGCTGTCGCTATTATTCTGCAGAGCCTCAAACTGGGCAATGAGTCTCTTTACGACCCCATGCAGCCGGCCACCGAACCAGCGCGAGCCAGACCCAGGGAGCTGCTTTGGATTCCAACACTGAGCCACCGACAGGGTTGTTAAAGGGCCTTTGTCCCCATCGCCAGGATCTCGCCGTTCCCGTCCCGCTTCCCAGTGCTCCGCAGCCGCAGGAAAGAGCAGAACAAGAGGCGTTTGCTTCAGCTCAGCAGTTGGCAAAACGTCGGCAGGGTCACCAGGCCAAACACCACAATGTGACTTATTCAGAAGCCAGAGTCCGGGCCAGACCAGTATCTCGGGGTTGGTTAGCGAGAGCAACAATAGAGATTTCTATAGGGCCTCTCTCTCCACGGGTCCCCAAAGGGTGGGACAGAGCAGCTGTTTCCCAGAGCCCAGCAAGGCTGGGTACCAGGGAGAACTCATTGGAAACTGCAGGAGGAATCTCCGTTGGTAGAAGTCCCTGCCCCATCCCAGTTTGGCCAGGATGCCAGGGTAACAGGAAGTGCGATCGGGTCACCGATGAAGGTTTTGCAGCTCACCAGAAAGGATGCTGGTCCGGCAGTATCATTCTGGGCCACTCAGAGGGAAGTGTTGCCCCAAACGCGTTCCCTGCCCTGCCGTGGGCTGCCCCTGGTAGCCTCCTGTCTCTGCACCACGTAGTGCATGCAGGCCTGCTGAGGCGCTACCCAAAATCTGCTCTCCCTGGGCAGCTCTAAGGACCTGACGCGCTACTACCAGCAGCACAGAACAGTTTTGGAAGGTGCTAAACCAGGGATGAGCAAAAGGGCCTCCACAGGTCGAATCCGGCCCGCCAAGCGGGCTAGTCCGGCCCACGGAGGCCCTGCCGCGCCTCCTCCCCTAGGCCAATTAGGGCGCAGGGGCGGGGGGAGGCGCATGAAGTTTTCTCTGCCCTGCCAGGAGCTCACAGCTTTGCAGCTCCGCACGCTCCTGGCAGGGCGGAAGGAGGCTTCGTGTGCTCTCCTGCCCCCAGGCCAATCAGGGCCCGGGGGCGGGGGGAGCACACGCAGTTTCTTCTGCCCTGCCTTCACCCTGCGAGGGTAGGAGGCGGCTTCACGTGCTGCCCCCGCCCCCAGGCCCTGATTGGCTTGCAGGTGGGGGAGCACGGGAAGTCTTCTCCCAATGCCAGGGGCCTGGGTGCTTATTGGGAAGGGGGGGCAAAGGGCCTCCTACATCCCACAGACCAATCATGGTCTGTGAGTGGGGAAGCAGGGGAGTATCCAGGCCCCGCCCCTTTCGTTTGAGGTCCCGCCCCTTTTGGTGTGGCCAGGGGCCACTTCAAAAATTATTGCCCACCCCTGTGCTAAACTGTCGCTAGCCAAACCGCTGGCTGCTAGGGGGGAAGCTTGAGCTCTGATTTCTGCTGCCCACGGCCCAAGGCAGGCAGCCTCCAAGTGTCAATGGGCTCTCTGTGGCCTCCCTGCCTGGCCATCTCATTCTCAGACAGGTCAGATTCAGCGGCACTGCTGGCTATTTTCGTTGGCCATCTGCAGGGAGCTGACCACTGTCCTCTCCCTCTCCCTGGGTACATGCCATGACCATGTGGCCCACCGAGGCTCTATGCATGGCCCATGAGACAGTGTTTCTGTTGTCCCTGCGCAGGGTTGCCAGATTCTGCCGGTTTCTGTCTGCGTAGGTTTTTCTCCCCTTCTGGTATTACTAAAGTGACACGCACGTAAAGCCAGGCCACGTGACGAGAGGGTCGTGCTGGTGGCACACAGCACTGTGAGAGCCGCGCGCTCCCTCTGCATCCAATCACAGCGCCGCTACGGTTCGGTCGGCGCCCCCCGCAAATTCTAGGTGCGCCAGCGCAGTGAGAGAAACTGCCCTATCCCAGGAGACCGTCTCGGGTACGACAATCTTGCGAGCCACCGAGAGGAAGAAAGACCATGCCTGCAGCCCCCTCCCTCGCCCACGGTGCCCATCACTGGCACGGCCAACCTGAGGGGGACTGAGCCAGCTAATAAACACTCTCTAATCGCCGTGTCTCACCTCCGCCGTGAGCTAGTTCCTGGCACGCCGACCGCTGGGGCAGCTAACGAGGGCTTTGGAGAGGCACCACACTTCCCGGGGTCTTCACTCAAAACACAACATCGCACGCCCAGCCACCCCACTCCCGCCCACACAGGGCGCCCCCTTCACCAGCCCTGGGCTGCACTGTGCACACGGGCGCCTTTCAGAAGGGAAACTGGTCACTTGCTGCCGCAGCCCAGGTGGGGGAGGCCACAGCTGCTGTCCAGGGTAGGGATGCGAAAAGCTGCCTCCCAGCTGGTCCCTCCAGAAGGGCTCACGTGTCAGGAACAGCGCGAGCACGGAGTGAGCGAGTTCGCCCAGCCCGCCTTGCCCATCACTCGGGGCCCCGATCCTGCGAGCGGTTGGCAGTTAGCAAAACGTTCCTATCCCAGGAGACGGGGCTTAGCCAACGGCCAGCACACGCTTCCAGAGCCAGAGTGCCGATGGGGCGTCCCCTGGCAAACTCCCAGAAGAGCAGCAGGCCTCTGGGCACAAAACCTTGGGCTGCAGCCAGCCCCACAGGGCGGTGACCGGACCCCAGCCCCACATACTGACCTTCTTCAGCACGCTGTCCAGCGTCTCCGGGCGGCTGATGTCAAAGCAGATGAGCACGGCGTCCGAGTCCGGGTAGGCCAAGGGGCGGACGTTGTCATAGTACGCGGAGCCTGCAACACAGAGAGAGAGGTGCGCCGTGAGTGGAGACACGCCGGGGGTTGGGCTGAGCTGCCAGATATTCTGGAGGCCTGGCAAGGGCAGGCCAGGCAGGTCTGTTTGCTCTCCATGTGAATGCCAGGCCCTGCTGGCAGCAGCATCGCTACAGGACTGCCCAGGTTTGACCCAAAGGCTCGCCACTCTGTGGGCAGCACTGAATTCCAGGCACCGCCCAGCAGCAGAATCCCAGGTTCCAACTCCGGAGCAGGGTCAGGGCGGAGCCCCCTCTGGAATGGGGCAGGGTGGTGACATGACAATCCAGACCCAAACAACAACCCAGTCTTGGCTGCTGAGATGAAGTTGGTGCAGGAGCAACAGGCAGGGAGAGCCCGTTCGCAACATGCAGCCAAGGCACCATTTTGCCCACTTCCTTTGCTTCCCTGCCTGCTCTTGACATTCTTGGGGCTGCTCTTCACTTACCCCGAGATCAACGCTCCAGCGATCGATCTCCCGGGGTTCGATTTAGCAGGTCTAGTAAGGACCCGCTAAATGGACCACTGATGGCGCCCCCATCGACACCAGTACTCAAGGAGAAAAGGGAGTCAACAGGAGTAGGGATGTTCAGAGGTGGGTATTTAACTAATCGAATAGTCGACAGAATTATCGACTATTCGATTAGTCGACAGGCAGCCCGGCACAGTCCCAGCAGGACCAAACCCCGCTGCAGCTCTGCAATTTAAAACACAGTAGGAACCTGGGGGGAGGGAGGGACAGGCTGCCCGGCTCCTACAGTGCGAGCTGGGACTGAGCCAGGCTGCCTGTCCAGCTGGCAGCAGCCCCTGTGCATGGGGGGCCCCAACTTCCCGCTGGGACCTCCCGTATATGGGGCTGCAGAGGCAGCGAGGGAAGTGGATGTGAGCAGTCAATTCGACTAATCCGCTAGTCAACTACTCCCTTAAATCCCTCAACAGGAGAGCGTCTCCTGTCAACCTCCTGCAGTGGGGACACTATTCTCATCGCTGGAGTTGTGCATCTTAGGTCGACGTTCTCCCGTAGTGTCGACCTGGCCTTGCTGTGCACCACTCCCACAGGGACTGATCTCCGAGGGAAGGCGGGAGGGCAATAAACGACTCACAAAAGGGGAGGGTCAAAAAGGAAGAAGATCTGAACCCTTGCTTAACACAAAACTGAGCTGTTGGGAACAACATTAATCAAGGAAGCAAAGGCCATAAAGAAAAGCAGTGGGTGCTAGGAGCCAGGGCAACAAAGAAGAGGAATTGGAATGAGCATAAATTACTGTATCCTAATGAGACGAGTCTCTCCACAGGACTGTTAAGAGCAGGAGGGTCAAAAAGGAAGAAGATCTGAACCCTTGCTTAACACAAAACTGAGCTGTTGGGAACAACATTAATCAAGGAAGCAAAGGCCATAAAGAAAAGCAGTGGGTGCTAGGAGCCAGGGCAACAAAGAAGAGGAATTGGAATGAGCATAAATTACTGTATCCTAATGAGACGAGTCTCTCCACAGGACTGTTAAGAGCAGCGGGTCTAACCTTTTTAGGACGGAGCAAATGGGCAAGGGGGGGGGGGGGGGCACGC